ATGCTCAAAAATTGCGTTACCAAAAATGACTTTACAGGGATCTCATAGAGACTATCGTCATTTGCCTATCTATTATATAGGCGCTCTACTTATTCACAACCTTCGTCTATCATCCATTGCAATATCATCCCAAGCATAGCTTTTAAAAATCGAAGAGCTACATTTCCTTTAAAAATGGAGGGCCTATCTGTGTTTTAACACGCTTTTATTAGCTTGGCCTGTATGTATGTATGACATGGAATCTGTGAGTATAATTTTCACCAATTTCCAGAAGTTTGATTAATTTGAACCTTCGCACATTTATCAAGGACCGATGATAATGCAATAATTTAATAACAGTTTTCCATTATCTTTATAAGTAAAATTCTGTAAAAAGCAGATACGTTAATAAAAAGCCACCGATTTCAAATGCCGCATTACGAATATTGTAACTACAAGCCTCTGTAGCTCAGTGACAGAACGCTGGTCTTGTAAACCAGGGATCGTGAGTTCAATCTTTACAGGAGGCAGATTGCGGTATACCCTTTTTCATTTTTTTAGCATGCTTTTATTAGCTTGCTCTATTCACAGGGTGACTTCGAAGTTGAGTCATTTATTTTAGCAGTTAGTAGATCTGGTCAAAAGAAATATTTTTTCCTATAACATTTTTCTGGCACAATTAAAGTAACAGTCAGAACTTTCAGCGTCAAGATTAAAAGGATGAGATCTTCTTCACGGTGATGTTATCATTACTTTTTATCGAAAACCACAACAAGACCTCATACACTGTTTCCGTCAAGAAAGGGAGTTGATATATTGCTCCGATGTCAACAATTTGTTTGAAGCGTTAGGACAGACACATGATCCAAATGATTGGCGCCTGTTCATTGATCTCTCTAAGCTTCGTTTAAAAGTGGTATTGGTACACAACGATAATAAATATCCATCTGTACCTACAGGGTGACATCGAAGTTGAGTCACTTATTTTAACAGTGAGCAGATCTGATCAAAAGAAATGTTTTTTTCCTTTAACATTTTTGTGGTAAGATTAAAGTAACAAAGTTATAGCCCTTTAGAAGTACCGCCCTGTCTCAATAATAATATTATGTGCTCGTGTTTGGCAACAACGGATATAATCCGCTTTATCGGTTCATCGCAGCGAAAGAATTTGAAACGCTTATCACGATGTTTTTACTACAATTTTATTCAGTTGTATTCAGTCAATGTGTCAGTCGGTAACGCGTGAGTGAATAGTGGTGTTTGTTGCGTGGCTCAAACGAAATAAAAAATGGCACATGTTTACGAAAATGCTGAACTTGTGGACATGATTCTTATTTACAAAATGCTGCCGCGGCATCACGGATTTATGCGGATCGGTTTCCCAATCGAGTGCAACCAACCCCTCGTGCTTTTGTTAATGTAGTACAAAGGGCTCGTGAATCAGGTGACCTCACAGGGGAGAGCATGCCGGTACTCCAAGACCGCACGATCAAATAGAACTTGAGGAACAAATTTTAGAATTAGTAAATGATTTATTATTCACGTAATTCTCACGTTTGGGCTACTGAAAATCACCATGAAATAAGGGAAACTAATTTCCAACAGCGATTTGAACCAATCAACCTGTGGGCTGGAATTGTTATCGGAATTTTAGTGGGGCCATTTGAATTACCAAATCGCTTAACTGGTGAAAATTATCTTGATTTCTTGCGACACAATTTGCCTGGTTTACTGGAAGATGTGCCTTTAAATATTAGACAAAACATGTGGCTTTTACAAGATGGGGCACCCCTCCATTATGCAAGAAATGTGCGTGAATTTTTAAATAGACAATTTAGTAATCGTTGGATCGGCCGTGGCGGTTTTGTACCTTGGCCGCCAAGGTCTCCGGACTTAAATCCGGTAGACTTTTGTTGGCGGGGTTGGCTAAAATCGCTAGTGTATAAAACACCGGTTGATACCCGCGATGAATTACGTGCTCGAATTGAGGAAATGAGTACAGTGATCACAAATCAACCAGTGATTTTATTGCGTGCTTGTAAAGAGACATAGCTAAGACGCGCCCAGCTCTGCGTCGAGCAAAAGGGAAATCATTTCGAACAGTTTTTGTGACATGGTTTTGGGCGCACAGGTCCGCACTGAAATGCTTGTCGGGAGGATACGGTATAAAACAAGGTAACATTTTTTTTATTTTTTTTTTATTTTTACACACATATTTTGGTTTATCTTCCTTCTACAATTACTATCTGAAAATTAATGACTCAACTTCAAAGTCACCCTGTATAGGTATATATGTATGTAACGGAATCTTTGAGCATAATTTTTACCAATTTCCAGAAGTCTTATTACATGAAACTTCGCACACGTATCAAGGACCGATGACAATGCAAAAATTTGATATCGGTTTTCATTATCCTTATTAGGTCCGCCAGGATTGATAAATTTGATCCTCTGTAGGGGAATAAGAGAGATAGAGCTAGCGCGCTACCTGCGCATGCGTGCAGCTTCGGACATACTCTTTGTTGGTTCGTTCACTCGACACAGCACAACCGAGGCAGATACTTTTTCAAGGTAGTGCATTCTCACCTTTTTCATTGCGAAGGTCGCCATTAATCCTGAGTTGGGCTTTGACCGTCCCCAGGGTACAAGGTTGTACAGTCGATCATGCAGTCATTTATCTAGGCTCGCGACTGTTTGCTGCAGGACAAGCTTATGTAGCACTTAGTCGTGTAAGACCTTTAGACGGTATTCGGATTGAAGAACTTGATTGCTCTAAGTTAACAGGAAAACCCTAATGCAACAGTAAGAAGCTTTAAATAAGATGATTAAATTACGTTATGATTCGTAAGTCATTCCAATACCACATGGCCACAAAAAACTAATTGATAAATCGAACTAAAAAACGAAAAATAAATAATAGTTTAAAGAAACTAAAAAACACGCTTATACAGCTAGCCGAACTAAAAAGTAGGGAATATTTTTTTCCAAGAGTTTATATTACAGTAGTAGATGGTCGAACAATTTATCAGTTAATGACCTCAAAATGAAATTATATTAAAATTTAAGTTATCAGCAGAATAATTCAATTCAGAGTGAAAAGCGTCGTTCTTAAATATGATATTACTAGATGTTTTTACAATAATAGGTTCAACAAACATTAGCTTTTATAAACCTTCAGACTTAAATCCTTGTATATAGAATTTTTTTTTTTCATCCAATGTTGTAACCTTGAATTTCAAATCCTTTTTCAGAAACTGTTCATGATGAGGTTGAACCTGATCATTAATAGTATTGTATAAAACAGTTTAATTTGCCATTGAATGTTACAAACATTCAATGTCTTGATGCAAATTAGGTATAGGGGTGCAACCATTTATAATGACTAGTTTTATCGATATAAAACAGAGGCATATCTTTCAAGTGCCATATCTCACTGAAGCTAATATTTTGATCGCAACAAATATATTGTAATTAACTCCAGTTAGTCCAACTTGTGGAAAATTCTCAGTCTATAATAATTTATTAATTAAAGTTTAACCGGCAGCTTAACCCCCTAAATTTCTGCGCAATCCAAATCCAGCTTTGAGGAAGATCTTATCTGTATATTAGAAAAGCAGAATTCTCATTAATAATTCCAGTTCTCTCTTAGGCGTATTTTTTAACTGAGCAATCGGGTCATCGCGATTTATTAATGAAGCGATATTGTTGTTCATATTGATTTATCTCAGCCTCCTTCGAATATAAGTCCTGCGCAAAAGCGGAAGGACACGATCATATCCTGCCTCACAAATTGTTATTTTTCAAAATACATTTATTCTTAGGGATACATTCCTTCAAAAAATCTTATACAGGTTGCTGTTTTCATGGCCTGGTATCATGATGTTCTCACGAGGTGACATTGTAACAGTTGCCTTTTATTGCCGATGAATCATATATTTTTTTTGTTGTTGTTGTTTTCGCACAGGTTTAATTTGAAGTAATGCAGCAAGAACTTGAGAAGGAAGAAACAAAAGCCGATAATCTGATCTAATAATCTCCGTAGCATATTATTTTTATTCATAGCATATTATTAAATCAATTTTATTGACAAAAATGACTAGACCGGCCCATCGACCATTTCCCAAGATAGAGCTTGTTTTTAACGGTGTATTTAGCTATATTTTTCTCACGTAATTCATAACCAAAATAAATATCACGCAGACATTTAACTATTATCATGTTTATTTGAAATAACAAACATAACACATGAATACCACGGACTAACTATAATTTTTAATTTGTATCCGTTGTTTTTCTTCTGTAGTCGTTTGGCTGCCTGTATATAGTAGTCAGCATCTTCCATGTCACTGAATAATTTGGGAACTGAAACCATATATTTCTCAATCAATTAAACATACTCCATCCTGATCTGTTTTATAATTCAAAAATATCAATTATTAAATTTTACGTACAGCAATCGCACTCCATTTTGATCACCTTTACAGTTTCTACCACTAAGTTTATAAATGTGTAGTCAATTTTCCATGCATTCAGGTAATTAATTGAAGAATTTACTCACCCTGATATGGACAATTTCTTCTTGTGTTGCCTAGTAATTTCCCTGGTTCACCATGAGTAATAATTTTAGTATTCATCTCCACATATTTCCATAAATAACTGGGTTGCTTCCATCTTATGCTAGATCTTCCACCGTCAAGAAATCAATTCAATCTCGAAATTTTCGCCTCGGGGATTGATAAATAAATGTATATCTATAAATTGATATCACCTTCTGAATTAAAAACTATTTGTGTTGCATAAATATTATTACTCACCTATTGAACTATGTATTTCTTTTATAGTCAGACGAATTTATTATTGTTTTCTGAAATCTTCCAATGTCAAAGGCTGATGTCGCTGATGTCGAGGTACTATTAATTCTGCGTACCGAACTACTTGCACACCTCGCTTTTTCCGCATAGTTGCCAATTTTATTTCAGAATTTCCTTATGTTTATTAATCAATCCAATTTATATGCACATATGACAGTGTTGCCACGTTTGGCTCTTAATGCTCAGGCGTACAACTATATTTGGAAATGTCAAGTCGAAAAAATTAAATTTTGGGATGGGACTTCCTTCCACTATCGGAGGGCCATCTGGTTCTGTTCCGCTAGTGCCAGAAGATCTGAAATTTTCCTCTTTTTTTGCCTGGGGCATCTTCGTTGGATTGTGGAAGAAAATTTCATAGATAAGTTCCTGGGTCACTCCTGTTGTGAGTGCGTAGCATCTTTTTTTTTCGTTTACCCTTGGACCCGAGAAATTCTCCAATTTGTAGGATCTTATTGTCTTCAGCCGCGCTTTTCGCCAGACAGGACCACGTGAAAAACCCTACCCGACATCATCTAGGGCTTTTATTTTGGGGGAATCTTCGCTACTGGAGATCCATGGACACGTTTTCTACCGGGGACCTCTTTCCGAACAGAGACCCTTTTTCCACCATAGGGATTCTTACGTCATCGGTTTTGAAGCCTTCCTCGCCCATTTTGAATTAGTTAGTCAATAAGCTTTCGCATTAAGGGAGATCTCCTAGTTTGGCTGGCTTAAATTTTTGTTGTTAGCCGTTAGTAGATGTAATAAAATGATTTGATGTTAATTTTAGCAATTATTTACCCACAGAGAAAATCTATTGTTTGTATGTATTTTTGTTTTTGTTTCTTGGAGTTTTGGGCTAAAGAGTGCCTTTCAACACCAAGGCGTCTTCCAGTTTTGGCGGGTAAAACCTGGTGGCGCCCCTAAAAAATACCCCCCCTACTCTCTGGTGTACCCGAGCATAGGGCCTAATTTGCCAACGCTAAACCACGGCTTTAGCCTCAGTAACCCACTAGTTTTTTTTAATCATCCATTGCCTCAATTGAGAGAAATAACTTTAGCTTAAAATTAAAAAGTGATCCTAATTAAAAAAAAGGGCGTGGCAACATTGTCGTCTAAGTAGTCAGATATACCTAATTAGGAAGTGTTTTGTAGTGACAATTATTTTTAGATTTGGCTGCATACGATAGTATAGGTAACTGATGCCTTTGACAACTCCAAAAAGGTGATACAAATTAGATATCTTGAAATTTGAGGAAAATATTGCATCTTCTATGTAGCTCGCTGTTGCGTGACATCACACTGCATTGCGCTTAATCATTCTAGTCCAACGACTTCGAATAGATTGCAAGGAGCCAAGCCTACACGTTTACAGTGCATTTTTGTCGACAAAATTGCGTAGTTTTAGTGCATACTTTTGACTCATTTGATTTCCATTTCCTACCATAGTGACGACATTGTACAAACATAATAATGACCGGTAAAAAGATCTACCTTCATCAGGCTTGTGGCATTCTTTGCAAGTTATGGAAGAAGTACAATGTACTGAAATCGTCTATCACCACAACCATCTGCAAACACCTGCACTTCTATAAAATAGCACAGGAATACGAATTCAATGACAAAAAATTAACTCATGTCATGGCCACGTATAATAAGCACCTTCATCTTGACTACGGACTGAGGCTTTAAGAATGAAAACATCGTAGGCTTGCTCCTTCTATCCAGTCTAACTTCGTTAGTATAGTCCCACTTGTCGCACTTTATGATATTATATTATGCCTACCTTGTAAACGACAGCAGTACGCTATACTTCGAAGTTGAGTCATTTATTTTAACAGTGAGTACATCTGATCAAAAGAAATGTTTTTTTCCTTTACCATTTTTCTTGTGAAATTAAAGTAACAAAGTTATAGCCCTTTGGAAGTTTGAGTACCGCCCTGTCTCAATAATAATATTATGTGCTCGTGTTTGGCAACAACGGATATAATCCGCCTTATCGGTTCATCGCATCGGAAACAAAAATGCGAAAGAATTTGGAACGATGTTTTTACAATTATTTTATTCAGTTGTATTCAGTCAGTGTCAGTCGGTAATAGTGGTGTCTGTTGCGTGGCTCAAACGAAATCAAAAATGGCACATGTTTACGAAAATGCTGAACTTGTGGACATGATTCTTATTTACGCGGCATCGCGGATTTATGCGGATCGGTTTCCCAATCGAGTGCAACCAACCCCTTGTGCCTTTGTTAATGTAGTACCTACAAAGGGCTCGTGAATCAGGTGACTTAAGACCTCACAGGGGAGGGCATGCCGGTGCTCCAAGACCGCACGATCAAATACAGGTCCGCACTGAAATACTTGTCGGGAGGATACTTTGTAAAACAAGGTAATTTTTTTTTTATTTTTTTTTATTTTTACACACATATTTTGGTTTATCTTCCTTCTTCAATCATTATCTGAAAATTAATGACTCAACTTCAAAGTCACCCTGTATATACCTGTACAATAATTAAAACGGAAGGTCTTGTAGCCCCATTGTCCTACCAAATCAAGCCACATGTGTTATACTGCCAGGCAATGAAGACCTATGGACTTTGTTCGTTCTGATTTTAATGTTCCAAAATGTGTTCATATTTATGTTGTTCTGTTAATATTTTCCCGAAATATGCCAGCTACTGAAAAAAGAACACCACACTGTGTGAAAATCTCATTGGAAGAGTTGTCCCCGGGTGGGAGGGGCAACATCTGAATTTTTAAATGGGAGCAGAGTATTGTGATACACCGTTTAAGAAACATTAATGGTCTTTTACGCAATTTTAGTTATGTTTCAATATATCTACGTATGTTCATTTGATTTTAATAACTTTTTTTCAGCTTGGTTAAATAATGTGTTGAGGATCCACGATTTCTTATACACTCGTTGACAAGCCTGGGCATCGTGCTGATAAGGTGGTTGATATCCTGTTGGGGTATCTCATTTCAGGCTACTGCAACTTCGTGAATAAGAGCTGCTAAGGTCTGTGGATTCGACAGGCGATCGTGGTGGCCAAGGTAAACGTTTGATGCGATGTTGATCCAGGAAGACTAACGATGCTCTGGCAACATGAGGTCTGGCATTGTCTTGCTGAAAAATCGGGTTTTGGATGGTGTATAGGTATGAAATAAGATGATGCTCCACTACTTCCTTAATATAGCGTCGGGCTGACAGTTTGCCTCTGATGAAAATTAGTGTTGATCTGCTACCATAAGCAATAGCACCCCACCATAACGCCCACGTTGTGGTGAACGTGACGCTCTGTCAAATTGTCACGTCGTTCACCACGTCGCCTTCTCACTCTTGCCCGACCATCGTGCATCCCCAGACCGCCGGGATTCGTCACTAAAGACCACCTGATTCCATTCCCGGTCCCATAAAATTCTTTCCTTTTCCCTCCGCTGGATATCGACAATTTCGATGCATTTTTGCCAAAGTAACGTAAGTGACATTTTTGGTGAAAATCATGTTTTTCCATTAACGTAAGGCTTTTATTGTTGAGAAGGAACTGCCAAGGTATAGGAAGCCTAGATTTTACTTTAAACCTTTGTTTTTAACTTTTTTTGAAAACGTATGTCCAGAATTTTTTAAATCATATCCGTAAAAGAGACGTAACTTCAACACTATTTCCATCATATTAATGCAAGCTAAGGTTTTTTACCGCCATAATAACGTAAGTCCCTGTCGGTTTCTGCGACTTACGTCAGATTTTCGCAGTCAATGTTTGGCTTACGACAGTGTTAGGTTCGTGCTACCATCGACTAATTATTGATTATAGGTAAGTAAACGATATTTTTTTATAGTTAGAATTCAAAAATATTACAATCTTAACTCATATTATGTAGGTACATACCTACAAAATTCCATTTCATATTTAATATCGTTCATTTATTACAAATGACTGTGTGATAACCTCAAGGTCTGTGAGAAATTTGCAGGAATGAATCGGTTAAAAAAACAGTTTTTTGTAGTTAGTATTTAAAAATATTAAAACCTTAACTAATATTATGTACCTACCTATAAAACTCCCATTACATATTTAATTTCGTTTATTCATTAGAAGTTATTCTGTCATAACCTCGAAGCCTGTGAGCAATTTACAGGACTGAATCGGTTGAAGTTAGAGAAAGACTGTTGTATTTGTTTCTATTCTAATTTTTATAGAAGCTATGAAACATTGTAAACATAAATGCTCGATTACTTTCAGATTATGTCTATGGCCAGTTCAGGAAAAAAAGGATCTTGGCGGCTCTTAGCCAAAATGATGAATCGAATAATGTTTATTTTGAGGAAGAAATCGGGTCTATGCCGATATCCATTATTTCAAGTGACAATATTTTTGATCTAGATAATTCCGAAAATATTTTAAAAACTACTTCAGTAAATGAAGACGTAATCGAAATAGATCAATCAATTTTATTGTCTTCTAACAATTCGAGTCCTTATGAAAATGATGGTAACCATACTATGCAAGAAGAAACAAATGTACGGATAAGTACTGATAGCTCAAATGGGACAGTGGGTGTTCAATTTGAACAGGAATGCGATGTACAAGAATATTTTCTGCCGTTAGTTAATTACATGACATGCCTGCCAGGTTTCACGATGAATTCTTTAAATTGAAATGTAAGTCTTCTCTTCCAGATTAGTTAGCAGAAACTGATGCAGAGGATGACAATGAAGACGAAAGCTCCAAAACTTAAAAAAATATATATTTTTTACTAGTAAGAATTTCATATTTTCTTTTGTAACGTTATTTTGTGTTTTTTTTAATAATAAACGATAGTATTTAATTCTTTCCAAAAGAGTGCTACAATTTGCTGCCAAACTGACGTATCTGTGTAGTTACGTTACATTTTTGATCAAGACTTCAAGATTTCTGAACCCGTAAAGTAACGTAAGTATCAATTAACCACTAAAACTATAGAAAAACTTCAAAAATCATTTTTCTTAATTAAATTAGACCTCAGAGAAACACCCTGGTAAATTTTGCACAATTTAAAAAAATTTAACCGGGTTAAATTAAAAACACGTTCTTTCTCCGAAATCGTTTTTGGTGATTTACGTTACTTTGGCAAATACGTATCGATTTTATTCCAATATTTGGAGTATGGATACTTCCTAAAACGATAAGAATCGATACATATCGATACTTTTCATGGATCTAAACATCCCTAATCTTGACAGCTTTTCGTTCTTGTCAACTGGGCTGCAGGGTGCGGTGTTGCCATTTCTATCTTACATTTTGCTAAAATCTTATGACAAATAAAAGCTTCCAATGAAATATTGACAAATATCAACGGAAATACATAGAATTTAGAATATAAATTCATATTGCAAATTTCAGATTGTTTATGCATGGACTTGAATGGGATTTTTCGGCATTTTTACCGAAAAGAGAATATTTACCGATAGCATCATTCTCCACGATCTTTCAAAATAGTTTAAACATTTCTATACATGCCAAAAAAGAAATGAAACCA